AATATCAATACCAAAAAACATTATTGATATTGAAGGTAACCGTTTATTATTTATCTATATAACCATCGGACTTGTGAATCTCGTTAAACTATAAACAAATAATCATTCTGCATGTAAAGATTAATTAAGACAGATAAATGAACTGTTTAGACTAGTAATGTTTAATTGACTACGTATCCGTTCAAAATTGAGAATGTTTTTTCACTTATGTTAAATATGACATCAATAATAATATTTACCAATCAATTGTAATAGAAAAACCTAACGGATTAGAGTTGAATGAGCTCGTTGTTTTCATAATCCAGTTTTTAATTCTACATAGGAAAGTTGCAATTTGTATATGTTTTGCTTTAACAATTATGGTTACAGAATCTGAAATCATTTGTCTTACTGAAATAATAAAAAAGAAGCTATCGATTTTTATCAATCAAAAAATAAGTGATATTAGAATAACTATGGAAATATACACAGAAGATCAATCTATCATTAGTGGTATCGTGGATCCTTTCTTAATTATTTGTTTGTTGGTTTAACGTATAATGATAAAAAAAACAAAATGTCAAGAATCGATTGATTGTTTGTTTTTTGTTTCAATATAGGATCATGAAAAAGAAAAAAGTTAACAATCAATTGATTACGTAGAAACAAGCATAACCACAAAGAACAGAAAAAGTAAATCAATTGATGTTTTTTAGTTTAAACGGATAATCACAAAAAAAGAAATCGCCAAATGTTATCAATGAATTTAGTGTTTTCACGCATAACCACAAAGGGAACAATCAATTGTTTGTATGTAAACGCGCATAACCAAAAAAGAGAAGAACACCTAAATCGGTGGATTGTTTTAGTTTAAACGAACCATCACAAAAAAAGAAATAATCCAGTGTTAATGTTTCAATGAATAATCTCAAAAAAAAACTGAGCAATCAATTGATTATATGTTTACATGCATAACCACAAAAAAACGTAAATCAGTCGTTTGCTTTAATTAAACGGGTAACCATGAAAGAGATAACCAAACTAGGGGTGTCGCATTAGCATTAGCATTAGCATTAATTAATGCTAATACTAATGCTTTTGCATTAGCATTAACAGTTAACACTAATGCTTTAGCATTAATGGCATTAGAGTTAATTAATGCTTAGGTGTTAGCATTAATTTAGCATTATTTTTAATGCTAATACATATACGCAGTAACAATTCTAGACTGCTACCTTGACATACTCCTTTAACTTTTTCAGGGCTACCTAAGGGTAGGCTTGGTAACTCTTCAAGGGCTTCACAGGGGCATCCTTCGTAACTTTTCAAGGGCTATCTAGGGGTACCCTTGGTAACTTTTCAAGAGCTTTCTGGGAGTGCCCTTGGTAGCTTTTCAATGGCTTCCTAGGGGTACCCTTGGTAGCTTTTCAAGGGCTTTCTGGGGTTACCCTTGGTAATTTTTCAAGAGCTTCATAGGAGTATCCTTGGTAACTTTTCAAGGGCTATCTGGGGGTACCCTTGGTAACTTTTCAAGGGCTTCCTAGCGGTACCCTTGGTAACTTTCCAAAGGCTTCCTTGGGGTACCCTTGATAACTTTCCAAGGGCTTTCTGGGAGTACCCTTGGTAATTTTTCAAGGGCATTCTGAGGATACCCTTGGTAACTTTTCAAGGGCTATCTGGGGGTACCTTTGGTAACTTTTCAAGGGCTTCCTAGCGGTATCTTTGCTAACTTTCCAAGGGATTTCTAGGGGTACCCTTGGTAACTTTCCAAGGGCTTTCTGGGAGTACCCTTAGTAATTTTTCAAGGGCATTCTGAGGACGCCCTTGGTAACTTTTCAAGGGCTTCCTAGGGGTAACTTTCCAAGGGCTTTCTCGGGGTACCCTTGGTAACTTTCCAAGGGCTATCTGGGGGTACTCTTGGTCACTTTTCTAGGACTACCAGGAGTACTGTTTGTAACTTTTCAAGGGCTATCTGGGGCACCTTTGGTCACTTTTCAAGGATTACCAGGGAGTACTCTTTGTAACTTTTCAAGAGCTACCAGGAGGTACTCTTTGTAACTTTTCAAGGACTACGTAGGGGTATCCTTGGTAACTTATTTCGAGCTCCCTAGGAATACCCTTAACAACTTTTCAAGGTCTACCTGGGGTTTCCCTCAGTAACTTTTTAAGGACTATAAGGTTTATTTTTTTTTGCAATTTTTCAGCTGCTACACCAATCTTTTAGCAGTATTTATTTTTTGAGAACCACTCAAGTATCATACATAATATTTCATAAAGAATTGTCGTATTTGGAATAACGTGTTCGCTGATTGGGTGGGTATATAGGATAGAGATACTACAAGACTACAGCAGATTTAATTTTCACCACACTCAGACAAAGGTGATTCCAGTTTTGAACTTTCAATAGAAATATTCTATTATGTTGTGATTGGATCAAGTCACATAAAGACAAAGACGAAGTATTCAGAGGATGTTAAGATCAGTAGAAAAAATCTTAGAGAAAAGGAACTAACACTCGGCTAGATGTCTCATCTAATCTTTCTTGTTAGACATTTTTACAGTTGTAAATTTATAGGTTTCTTAGCTATTGTTTTTTTCGTGTTTGTTTTTTGTCTTTCTTTTTGTCTATTTTTTTCTTTTACTTTTATTTTCCTTTAATTGTTCTTTCTCTGTACTGTGAGGACCTATAGGTCACCAGTTAAGGCAATACAAAAAGAACTAATAATTCTTCACTGTTCTACGTTGCGGTCTCACTAATTTGATTTACAGGAATTTTTTGTATAGAGTTGACTTTAGAAACATTGTCTCGAGATTAGCTGCATGTTATATACGGATTTCAAGAACTCATAAGCTTTAGTTTAACCGATTGTACCAACTGGTTTTCAGTAATTTTTACGTATTGTTGTCCTAATGAGACAATATATTCATTTTTATGCCATTCAATCGTCTCTTCATGGGCAAAGAAGTGTGAATCATCCTCCTTTGTAGTTCTTTCTCACTGTTGAGAAAATTTATCTATGTTTAAATTTCACACGAAAACATCGAATTTCTCTTTATTTTTCATTATTATCTATCAGAACAACGTTTCTTTTGCGATGAAAATATCATAATCACAGTTAGCGTGAAACATTCATTCTCTACATGTGCATCTGTAATTTCTTAATGTAGTTGGCTTTTTATTGGAACTTTTATATTGAAGAGTCAAGAAATCGTTATGCATGAAAATCTAGGTTTTCAAAATAAATCTAGAATTGAAGTGAACATCTCAAAAAAGATACCTGAATCCGCGTGCGTTTTATGCTGACTGTGATTATAATATTTTCATCGCAAAAGAAACGTTGTTCTGATAGAGGATAATGAAAAATAGAGAGAAATTCGATTTTTTCGTGTGAAATTTAAAAATAGATAAATTTGCTCAACAGTGAGGAAGAATTACAAAGGACAATTCACATTTCTTTATCCATGAAGAGACGATTGAATGGCATAAAAATGAATATATTGTCTCATTAGGATAACAATACGTAAAACTTACTGAAAACCAGTTGGTACAATCGGTTAAACTAAAGCTTATGAGTTCTTGAAATCGATATATAACATGCCACTAATCTCGAGAAAATATTTCTAAAGTCAACTCTATACAAAATATTTCTAAAGTCAACTCTATACAAAATATTTCTAAAGTCAACTGTATACAAAATATTCATATAAATCAAATTAGTGAGACTGAAAAGTCGAACGGTGAAGAATTGTTAGTTTCTTTTCACTAAGGTTG